ATTTTTCATATTGCACCAGTACAGTTAATGAGCAACCTGTACTTGTGTGCTTGTTTGTACTGTCTAAAATGTTTATTTTGGAATAAAGAGGTTAATATAAAAAATATTTTTTGTCCGATTCATCGATTAATCGAAAAAATAAACGGCCGATTCATTGATTTTTAAAATAATCGTTAGTTGCAGCCCTAATCATACTCCATCTATCTTAACCTTACTAATCAGTGCTACTATGAAAAACACAGCTCATCCATTACAGGATGAAAAGAAAAGTATGGTATAAAAAAGTATAAAGAATAATATAAAACAAAAATACAAACGTTTACTTAAGAACCAACAGATTTTATATCCTTTGAAAACATTTGAAGCAGTTTTTAAAAAGAGTTTACTTAAGTTTGCATGATTTAGTCTTTAAGAGGAAAATGAAACCTAGTAACCCTTTAGAAATTGCTTAAAATAAAAACAAACCTCATCTTTCTTCTGTTCTTCCTTCTCAGCTTTGACCTGTGGTTGTTCTGTCAGTGGGAGGTAGCTTTTGTTGCCAATGGCTTCAAAGAGTTTATCCACAAATGGCTGGGTCTCTGAAAGAAAGTAAGGTTGTGAACAAAGTTTTTTTTTTTTTTCTTTCTAATGTTGATTAGTTTCTAGATGTAGTATTAAATTAACACGAAATCAAGTGCCAACCTTTTTGTAGGAAAACATCCAATTGGTCAATACACAGGGCTTTAAGTTCCTTTTCACTTTTGTCCTTCTTCACCAAAGCAACAACATATTTTGCGAGAGCAGAGGGGTCGGCATCACAACTGGATGTCAGAATGGGGACAATAATGGGTACATGTGTACATGGAGACAGCTGTATCAACATTTTGGAAATGCTATGGATAGTTAGCGTATTAAGCCTTTTTAAATGTAATAATAAAAAAATAAATAATAAAAGTGCAGTTTAAAAACTAATGTGACATCCTGTAATTCAGAGTTGCATGGGCAGACGTGCTATGCGTAGCTAATAATGCTAAATGCACTTACATGGGCTCCAGGGTTTCAGACAGCCATGTTTTCAAAGCATCGAGGTTATCAATTATCATCTTCAGTCGACCCGAACTTTCCTTTCACGACGGCCCAAGCAGAGACTTTTCAAAATGATGGTATTTATCTGTTTAAAACAGGCACCAAACATAAACCGGTCAAACTTTCCTGCTCACCAACTGGTATTCAGCAACACAGATGCTAACAGCGCCGTTAGCTAACTTACCGCGAGAATGTTCGATAGCCTAGTTGTTTTAGCATATGTATTTCCAGGCCCTAAACGTGCAAAAAAAAAAAACGACTTCGGCACCAACAAAGTTGCATTAGAACAAATGAAAACGCGAATTTAATATTATCAAACTTTAACGAATCGACAACGAAATGTTTCTGCAATTTTATAATCTGTTAAAATTCATTGGCATCCACGTTTAGATGATACTTCGTCTGTGAGTATTTACTTCCGCTCGTATTCACGTTCCCACATTTCTGGAAAAATCGCGAGATTTGCTAGTGAAAGTCCATCTATAAATTTAGCATGAATCTTATTTGTTTAGCTTCAATTGGCGTTAGTAATGCCGTAAAAACCAGATAAAGGAAAAAATAAGTATATATATATATATATATATAATCTCTTAGAGGAGACTGATTTGTCTTCTTAAGACAGCTGTGTATATATATACACACAGAGCTGTCTAAAGAAGACAAATCAGTCTCCTCTAAGAGATTACGTTTACATAGTTATATTAATTGATTTTGCATATGCATTCACGTGAACTTTTCAATATAACATAATAGTTTTAAATAGGTATTATACTTAAAATGCAAAGGCGCCAAATTCTTCTATCAGAAATTAACACAATTAGCAGAAGTGAAGGTTTATAAAGTTTTTAAAATGTCTGTGATTTTTCCATGATATCTGTTTCTTTGAGATAAATTAACTATTCTAATTTACTGAATGATTAGATAATTTTTAGCATTTAAAAAATAACCACAATGTAGATCTTTAATAACGAGAAGTAAAGACTTCCTTCATGTACAGAAATACATTTTAAAAAGCACATTTCACCATTTAAGTATAGTTGATAGAAAGCAGATAGTTAGCTACATGGTAGATAACATGAACAGTTTTATCAATGCATTTTATTACCTACAAATTTAAATATGATTGAAATGATTGATAACTTTACATTTTCATTAACTGATTTAAGTCATATCCCATATGTACTCATGTCTCTTTTTCGCTCTGCATGCATTCCTTCGCTTTCTTTTGCTATCCTGCAGTAGCTCTGAGAAATATTTCATTCTACAAATAAACATATATATTAATGTCTACAATGGTCCCAAAGGGTCAACCATAAGTATTATTCAAAATAAGAATTATACTACATTTACAGACAGAGGGCACTACTACATACATCGACTTGCACCACTGGCAAATATACACAAAATAATGATAATAATCCATCCATCCATTTTCCACCACACTTATCCCAAGCTGGGTCACGATGGAATGTAATTATAATAATAGTAATCATAAAAAACACCATTTGCTGTGTATAGTAAGTTAAAAAGGGTTGAAGTGAGTATCCTTCATTCATATAACATTGGGTTGGTTGTTATGTAAACTAAAGAATGGATGCGCGTTGGGGCATTTTGAACACTGCACCCTTCCTGAGTGCTTTATGTCCATCCCTTTCATACATTAAGCAGGGATCTTCATCCTTGCAGTCAATGCCCACTGCCCATGTTTTAAGTGTTTCCACACATCTGACTTAATGACATAAATTAACAGGTTTTTGTAACCAGAAATGGTTCCTAAGGAGTTAATACTGACATTTGATTCAAGTGTGTGGGGTAGAGACACATCTAAATCATGGAGGACAGTTGGCCTTGAAGACGAGGCTTAAAGATCCCTGCCTTAACAAAGCTCAAATTATTTCAAATTAGATTCTTGAAAATGAAAAGGCACCTCATTTGCTTTCCCGATCACCAGCTCTCAATCCAAAGAGGTTAAATGGAAAAATTGGCATCATGGAATTTGGAGCAATTATTGCTGATTTAACCTTTTTTTAATTTTTTTTTATGGCACAAAGATTCAAGACAGCAGAAAAGACAAAATTAGCAAGCTTTATTTGATAATGGTATTTGTTAATTATCAACTAATAGCAGATTCCACATTAGTTACGCTTTAGGTTCTAACCTCTAAAGGCTCTCATCGAACCTGCAGTTTCTAAATATCATTTTAAGACTTCATGGTCTTGCAAAATAAACTCTTATTTCACAGAGACCAGAGGCCTTGAGATTACAAATATATGACCTCACCATTTGTTTACACTTTAAAAGTATTTCTTCATTGCCTGACATGTCTACGGTATATTTTTCCTTTTAGGCACCTTATTTAGCAAATGTAGAAATTCAGAAAGTTTGAAAAAGCCTGATTTTAATACCAGAAAAATATTGATAGCAATTTGAAATTTTATCTCTAAGGCAGTCATGAACAATGTTCAAAGTAATGGGTCATAACACCTTAGATAGGTTCCTTAAGTCTCAAGTAAGTGCCACCTTTCACCAGACCATGTGTGACTGATCAGTATGGCTGATCCCCATAACATGTCTTTGAAGAAACCTTTTTAATACCAGTTAAAATAACATCTGATTTTACCTTTGTGATTAAAGGATTTATTTTGTATCGTTCTTGTAATCATATTAGCTTTTCCAAATAATACTGACCATTATAAAGAAAGCTTTTCTAATTAGTTGATAGCGAGCTACAGGATACCCAATGAAAATGTCAATTATTTAATTTATCCTTGTATCAAAAGTCACCAAAACAACCCCCCCACAGAAAAAAATGTAAAACATGTAATTAACATATTAACTTCTAAATTTTTGTTTTCATGGGCCTTCAAACCTCTACATAATAGCCGCTGACAGACTGTGTGCAGACTCCATATTAGAGACCTCCAAATGTGCAGTTATTGATATATCTCAGGCTCATCCATACAAAACACAGTACATTCATGGTTTAGCTTAAAGTTCTGTGTTTTTATTACTTTCAACATAAACTACAAAAGTTAAGGACATACAAGTCTTTACATTGTGTTTCAGTGTGCCTTCCAGCCAAACTACCCCCCCTCCCCCACTTCATTTTTCTTCGCAAAACAAACCATCCCAAACATGCATTTACCTTCTTTAAAAGAAAACAAGTATCCTGATACATTGATGAAACACTTTCGACCAGCAGCACATAAACCACACTAAACACATTCTGAAATCCATTTACATTCCATAAAACTAATGCATATTAAATTAGCAAAAATATATACTTTAAATAGTTAACTTTGTGATTTATTATATAATTTCTTTAAACATCTAACTAATGCGATTGTAAAAAGTAAAAAAAAAAAAAAAAATACTAATCTCAATAAAATGTACACTAAAACAATTTTGTGTGTATTTATCTTTTTGACATATGAGTTATGAAACTTTGCTTTCTATGGAAACAAGAACAGTCAAAGGAACAAAAAAGAAAGACCATTCAACCACAGAAAAGCAATAAGATTCAACATTTTGGTTTGAAATAGACGCAACTTAATTATTGCGTAAAGCTTGTCAGCGCTTTTCAATAGGTTTAACAGCTGCCCTTTAATGTCTAGGTAAATTGATTTCTTGGACAAGGAGGAAAGAGTGAAAAGTATTTACAATAGCTTTTGCACATGTATACATCAAGACACAATATTATAAGGAACAGCTCTAAAAAAAAAAAAATAAAAAAAAAAAAACATTGCTCCCGCTTACATTTGTTAAAATGATGAATAAAATGAGTAACAGTCCAAAGAAAAAGAAAAGAGCTGCAGTGGTTGCCTCCATCGACATTCATAAAAAAAAAAAAAAAAAAAAAAAAAACTTTATAACTTACAGTATGCACAGCATTCGTTTGTTATGATAAACATCTAAGACACATTCCTGGCCTGAGTAAAAACCTCTAAAAGTAGTGTGTTTAAGAACTCCAATAAGGATGAGCATTCATTTAAACATCCAAAGAAGATTTTTAAGATCCGAGAATAGCCAGGACCTAGTTTTTCCTTTCAATAAACTGAAGGTTAATGGGGGCAGCAGGGCAGAGCAGGCCGTGGGTTTTAGCTTTGACTTCAGCAGTAAGAGGAGACACCCCAATGGAGAACCTTTGAATAAGCTGCAAACAAAGCAAAAACAAGCCTTACTTAAGATGCAACAAAGCTGTATGTAACATTGAAGTGTAGGACATTAGGTTTAAATGATACATGAATGGCTTTTCGAGATGAGTGAGATCGTTTGAGAAAGTCTTTTTGACAGAATTAACTATGGTATAGCTGTTAGGTGAAGCCTTTTGCCAGTTTACTACTTTCATTTCATGTGTATTTTCATTGGTCATCAGGATCTATGCAGCTGCATCAACAAAGGCAACAAATGGAGCAATGTTTGGTAATGATGGGGGTGGTGTGCCACACTGTGTCTCACATGGGTTCAGGGAAGTGGACAAAGGCAATTACTAAAGTTGCAGAACTTTTAGAACCAACATGATGGAATATAAATAATTAGTGGTTCCATATTCCACCTTCATCCCCCCTGAGGCATACAGTTAATTTCCCCCACCATCCCCCTGTTTTACATGATCAGAAAAGCTCTAAATTCAGGAGCCGACTTCCCTCTAGTGGCCACTTTGTCCAACAACCATGTTAATCAGATCTCATGAACCCATGTTCATGAGATTTGTTAAAGATGGGTGGACCCATTTACATGCATAAAGAAGGCATAGATCCTGCACCCCCAAACTTAAAACTTTGTGTTTAAATTGTGATTTAAACACAAATTAAGATTTTAAAGGTATAGTAGAGGATGTTCTTTCTCCGAGTGGATCATCAAAATAAGTGGCGCTCATAATTGTCAAACATTCTTGTGATACGTTTACATAAGGCCGTCCTAAGTCCCCATTTTGGAAAGTAAGTTTGTACGAGCAATGCAAACAGCAACTTTTAAAAAAAGCGTGCATGAGGAGAAATGGGCTCGAGCATGCTCTAGCAAGCGTTTAGTAGACGTTCCCTCTCGGGAGCGGGTATAGGGTTGTGGAGAGGACAAGTCTTTTTCAAAATTTCGCGAAAATCCTGCACTATACCTTTACCTACCGGCTACATTAAGCAAATAAAGCTAATTGTTATGGGTAAGATAAAGGATACAGTACCTATAAAGTTGGTGTATTGTGTGCAAAAACAGCTTTGGGTTAGCTTTCCTCAGTCTAATTTGTGTTTTAAGAGATATATTATATAATATTGTCCTTAACGTAGCAAACAGTCTCTCTAACTAAAAAAATTGTCAATTCTTCATTACTGAAAGGGTATTAAATTGTTCAGCATATCATCATGACAACATTTGGCTAATGCAAGAGCTAAAGGATCGAACGCAACCGTTAATTCAGGTAGTGTTAATTTGCTTTATAATGAATCTCACTTGCTACAATTTACTTGCTACTGAAATGTCCTTCCCTTCCTACAACCAACCGAAGTGAATTTAAAAACTGATATGATAGGAATTACTGTATGTGAGATGGAAGCCTAACTATTCTTCACAACCATTGATTGTGATCTTCTTGGAAGTTAAAACATTGGTCAATAATGATATGTTTACACCTGCAAGCACTCTGTAATCTTGCCTTGAAATAATCTCAAACAAAATCTAAATTGTTGAATGTTAGAATACATTGAGATAGTGTTAACTACAATGCATTTGCCTCATTGCAATCAAAACATCTTTGTTATACAACATTCATTTCACTTTTAAATATGCATGTTTTCAGAACAACTCTATAATGAAAGAGTTAATCAATACCCTACCCTGGTGAGAGCCAGATGCATCTCCAGCTCTGCAATTCTTCTGCCAATACAGCTCCTGATGCCGTAGCCAAAGGGAATTGAGCCAAAGTTGTCCACGCGATCTGAGGAATCTTTCCGTACCCAGCGCTCTGGTTGGAATTCTAAGGGACTGGGAAAGTTCTCTGCATCCAGAGACGTGGAGTAGTGACAAAGGGCCAGCTGAGTCTGAGGAACAGAAAATTGCAATAGGGTAATGAAAACAGGTGGGCTGTTGTGCGTGTGTCACGCAATAATGCACAAGAGATTTAGGAATAATGTTGTATCATGTCACATCTGGTTGTGCTTTAATGTTTTTGGCTGACATACTCAAGGTTTTTTTTTTTTTTCAGCACATGCACACTCTAGAAGCATCTTACCCCTTTGGGGATGAAGTATCCACCAACCACCAAGTCATCCTGGGTAATCCGGCCGTTGCCTGGGAGAACTGGAAAAAGCCTGCTCCCCAGAGGGACATACAAAGACTGTTATTCAGCAGCACTACACAGCACTAGGCTGTTCACAAAGACTTTAAGAAAAAAAAAATAGAAAGAATCTGAAAAATACAACTAAAGATTTTATATAAATACTCCATGTCTATTTAAGCACATTTTCAAAGTATGTAAGCAAGGAGAGATAAACAGTTCAGCAGTACTGTATTACATAGTATGAAAAAATGTTGGCGTGATGAGCAGTTAAACAAAACATACCTAAGAGTCTCTTTTACCAGCCCTCTGATGAGAGGCAGGCGAGGGACGTCTTCAGCTGTGGGAACAGTTCCAGATCCAAGAGTCTGTGTGACTTCTGTGTAGATTTGCTCCTGGATGTGAGGGTGTCGTGCCAGCAGATAGCTGGCCCAGGAGAGGGTGAAGGACGTCTGAAATAAACAATAAGACATGAAAAAAGCTCTATAGGTAATTTATAAAAGCATTTGATCATCATTAAGAGCTTTAAGGAAATCTTGCCCTGTTTTTTTTGGGAGTGGGAGGGAGTTTTGCAACATAGGTGATATAAGAGCTTCTATAATGTTACGCAACAGAGAGGGGGGCTTGAGGAGGGCTAATTCCACATACTGAACAGACACTCATGTTTGCTCCTCAAGCTTAAATCTCATCCTTATCACTTCTCATCCACTTTTACCTTGATTAACTTTTATTGGATTACATCATTACTTTAATGAATCTCAACTTGGTCTCATAATACAAAATGACCAAACTGCACAAGTGGAAAAAGGGGAAAAAAAACATTTCTACTTTACATAACCATTCAGCTAAATTTCCACAGACGTCAAGATCTTTCTGACTGAGCAATCTGATCACCCCCTCTATAAAGCAGAGTACTTCCTCCGTGTGACTCACATTTCACTGACATTTTGATTTGAATGAGGTTGGCAGATGACCAAGTGATATGAAAATGGGTTTTAACACTCTTCCCCCTATTGACTGTAGAGCGTTACATCTGATTTTCCCTCCCCCAAACCCACACCATTCCTTCTTTTCCTGACTCCCCTGTCTGACTTTCCTATCCAACCCCGCTCTGTTAATGGCATAAGGAGATATCAAAATGGCCAGTTTTTGCATGCACAATAGAGCTCAAAGGGGTGTTGAATGATAAAAAAGCCCATGTCCTTATCTAGGCCTTGTTAAGACCTCTGAAATCCACAAATAATGACCACATGCCCAGTTTGGAAGTTATTTCTAATCAATTTCAGATGGCACTAATTATCTGCACTGAAAAGAATCATATGACTAAAGTGAATTTGTGCCCATTTCTATTAGGCTTAGGCTTTTTCTTTTAAATCTGTGCCTCCCCCCCAAACACTCACCATACACCAATTTCTTTCTTTGCTTCCTTCTTATGCCAGTTCCCAGCTAATCCCTCACATCCAGACCCTTACAACCCTCCCTCCCATCATCTCACCTCTGCCCGGACTGTGCCATAATTCTGGCTGTAGCTAACGCGTCTTGACAGCTCTTGTGTGTGAAGAGTAAAGGCAACTTGCACTCTGGGGTCAGGTAATGGCATAACTAAGCCCGCCACCCCACAGGGCTGCAGCCAATTCAGCAAATTTAACAAAAACACAGACACCCTTTTATTCTGTAGGCCCAAGAAAAGTACAAAACACTCTATCCCCCCTTAGTTCTCATTAATCTGACAGTACCCCAAACAAATTAGGCTGTAACTGTGAACATGTGCAAACACACTCGTAATAGAAAAAAAAAAGTTGGCTTTGTCAAAATCTGAACTATTTCCTGGAAACACTTTTAATCCGCTGTCTCCTGGAGTGAAAAAGTATATTTGAGACTCAAAAAAAAGAAAAGAAAAAGAAAAATTTAAACTCACGCAAACAAACCCTTCTTGGATTCAGAGGTACATACAATTAGAAAAACAAATGTTTTACCACAGACGTTCAAACTTAATTAAACTAACAGCCTTAATTACCAGCAAGTAGAACAGTGCTCATAATTAAGTTCTAATGAGGAAACAGAAGAGCGTACAACACAGATGTCTGGCACAGAAAAAGAAGGACAAAGGGACCCCTGTGTTGAGCTAACAGACAGAGACAAACGGCAAGAAACTAAACCAGAGTGAGAACATATTTGTCAGTGGGATACTGTGTAACCTCCCAATTCATTTTCCTGACCTGACGCTAGCACAGACACAGATGTGGTTCCCGTAACATTAGCATGCGCGCTTAACAATAAGTCAGACACACCCTTAATCCTGGCTCCTCCAACTGCTACAATGGGAATAATTACACAATGCTAACCCAACACATTTGAAAACAATCCAAAAAAAAAGAACAAAAAACACAATCACACACACACCGTATCGACCCCAGCCAGAAGCATCTCTGTTACATTTGCGTAGATCTCCTCCACACTCATCTCCATGGTGGTGAGCATGTGTGTGAGCAGTCCCCCCTTCACTGTCTCCCCCCTTTCAACCTGGGCCTTGATCTCCTTGAATCTTTGATCCACATGAATCATGCCTGGGATTAGACAGATACAAAGAAGGTGGGATAATATGAGGAGTATGGGAGGGGGTGGAAATGGAGGAAAAAAAAGAAGAGATATATAGTTATGTAGAGATGATCTCCCACAATACTACATTAAGTCAGATTTTCAAATTTATATTCATTTCAGCATTTAGTAAATAAACTTTCAGACAATAAAATGTTACATAGAAAATCTAAACTGTAAAAAATGTAATCTGAAATATACAACAATGCAGTAGCAGTTACGGAACATTACAAAAACTTAAGGAAAAGCTAAAGCCTCTAACAAACTCCCAACGTCAGTACATGATGCCTTTTGTGTTTTCTGAAATGGAAAAGGGGGGGTTAAAATCAACCCAACCCTATTAAGGGCTGGTTATACTACCGCAGCAGTGTCACCGTGAGCTTGTAGCAGGTATGACGCAGACATTTGTGATTTATGCTCAATTTTGAAGTGTGGTCTGCGCTATGTTGCAAGAGGGACAAACACAGACTAGCTGTGGGTCTAGATACGGCCGAGGCAGTGAGGAAGTCAGGGCAAGTTTGTGCGATAACGGAGGGACATGAGGGTGAAAAAGAGCGGGGATCCAGGTAAAGAAAGGGTCCCAGCGTTCTTGCGCATCTCCATCTTCTAGCTGGCCCAACTTCACGTTGTCATTTTCGTTTTCCACAATGGCGGTCATACAAAGAAAACAAGCTGGTATGGTACCAAATAAGAAATATGCATAGTGTAGAGCAGATGTAGATTTGACCAATCAGAGGCCTCCTTTCTGCGTGTCTGCGGGAGGGGGCGGGGACTCTCTACGTTCACTTCTGACACTTACTCAGAATACCTAGTTTCTAAGTATAAATCAGCCTTTATCCCTTTTAATGGCACAGTGATGCATAGTGAAGATTAGCTGGCCTGGTTTGGTGGTCTGAAGTCGTTTTGACAGGTCCTCTGTGTTTCCAGCTCTTTGCTGGACTTCAGTGGTGTGCTTACACACTTTTCTTCTCGCCATTTAAACATAATAAAAAAAGACCAGGTGCTCAGAGATAGAATGGGTCACTATAATTAAACCAAAAAAAGTCTTTTCACTAGTAGTAAAATTTGATGTGCCTCCTTCTGATTGGGAGTACGGTATTTGCTAAAAGTGTTGGACCCCTAATCGGCCTTGTGTCCATTTCTTTTTTCTATGCTTTATCCTTGAATGCCCTCGTAAGGGACAGCCCCAGCTTGATGGTGATTTATGAACTTTCAATTGTACTTGTTGCAAATTTTTAACACAACTGTTTATTGAATGAGGATTAAGACTTCACAAATACAAGTGCGGAACAAAAGTCTTGTTATCTCCTTCTGCTTCCGGCCACATCTATTAGCATTTGTTTTTTAGTCGGACTTCATTAACAATAGTGTAAAAGCACAGTTTACTTACTGAATCTGAACAAGCCATCCCAGGAGAGACAAAACTCTTCCCATGGTTTGGGAATGATGGGACGAAGCCACTTAGGAATTGCTCCAGCATACATGGTGGTCTTGAAGGAACTGAACATTAGATGCAAGGCAGATATATAGTCCTGGGTTGCTTTAGGGATGTCGTTTTCCAAGCAACCTAGTCTACACTCATACAAGATAGCAGCCACGCCTGTAAAGATCGGAAGTTATCAGTTAGAGTTAAGTTTTCCACAATTGTGTAAATCAGGAGCCTATTTCTCTAGCACTGTATGGACATTTCTGCAGGCAGTTCATATTGAGTTTTATTACATCATTTATGTGTTGAAAGGTATTCTTTTTCCAATAACATAATGTTTATGTTTGTGCAGCCCTGTTAGAATAAAGCTAATTTCTCTCTTCTTGCAGAGCTTCTATTGGCTTTTACTCTTTACTAACCTTCCATGGAGTATTTGAAGAAAAGGTCATTCACATTGAGGACAGTAAGTCCATCGGGCTGCTGGCTCCGAAGGGTGTAAACTCTCTTGATTAGGTCGTCCACCACCTTGTTCACATCGTCGGAGAAAACTGCTACGTCACGGGGACGCATTATAAGTTGTCTGAGCACGCTCCGCATCTTAAGCCATTCTTCTCCCTCGCTGAGAAAAAAAGAAAAAAAAAAAAGCAGGGACAGTTTGAGTGAAAATGAAATAAAATTTTAATCTAAACATTGGAACATGTTCATTTATTTAACCTGTTGAAACTACAGTTTGTTGGCAGGATTCCAAAACTCTAAAGCTGGGAGGTTACTACTCACGCTGAGATTAGGCCAGTAGAACGGCCCCTAAGGTCCCTATACTCTTGCCAGGATTCCATGTTGGCTCTTTGAGGGGCCACACCCTCAGCACGCAGTACCTCCGCCACCAATTCACGGTCAGCGATGGAGACCACCAGCTGGGGTCCGAAATAAGACTTGAAGATTTTTCCATACTTCTTGCTGTGCTCCATCTATAAAGCAGGGATGACAGCCTTTATAGAGAGGTTTGTCTTTTACTTACAGATCACACTTCAGCACAGTTTCAACCAGTTACTCTGACATGTCTGAGGTCAAAATGAATTGAGACCAACCAACAGAAACCCTCATTTAAGGTTTCATCAAACTTATTCATCACACAATAAAAACCTTGAATTTTTTTTTTTTATTAATAAACGGGGTTAGTTACACTTTTAAAAACCCTCACTGATATTATTCTTTTTGACATTTTAAGCAAATTTTTAAGCAAGCAAAAAAAAAAAAAAAAAACATCTAGAAAAAACATATAGACTTAAGACTCAGTTTATGTCACTTTTAAATATGGGAAATGCATTTTCAAACTATGGCCGATTATTTTGGCAGACAGATGGGAAGCTAGACCTTTATGCAAGTATTTTAAATGTGATTTTGTCTCTAATACTATTTCTTATATAAACACAAAGATAGGTATTTACATTGGAATAAAGGTTGTGAGAATTTAACACAAGTGAAAGCGCAGGGGTTGTGTTGTTTCATTAAAGTTTAACTGGTTTGGTTTGTCCTATTCCTAATTTAATGAATGGGAAACCTCTGGAGTTACTTTCAGCATTTCCGTATCTTGAACTGTTACAAAACTCCAGCCGTCCAGAGGGAAACTGACCAGGAGTTGAGCTCCGGATGCGCTTTTACGCAACACTCAGTGCCATTCTGCGCATAGGTGGCAGAACTGGCCCTTAGCCAACTATGAAAAGCTAAATAACCTTTTTTTTAAAAAAAAACGTGAAAAAACAAACATTGTCAGCCTTCTTTACCTGAATCTCGTGAATTCTGCTGAAGCCGTCTCGCCAAAAAAACTCAACCAAGTTGGAAATGGTGCTCGGTCCCGGCATCTCCTTCAAGGTTTTGATCTGGCTTTTCTCTCGGAGCTCCGCCGGAGCGATCAGCCTGCCGGACACGGCCTCTTCTCCGGTTGGGATCTGCAGAGCCTCGCTGGCTGCTGTCTTGTGTAATGCGCGGGAGACGAGAAACAGCTGCTCGTTCAACAACCCGGCTGGCATACCCCTCCAGCATGCTGCCGAAATGCGGTTCAACACTGCCATTGTTTCTAAAGTTTGAAGCGAGCAAAGAAGGATTAAAAAAGGGCAACTTTAGACAAACTAGAAAACTTTCTGGCACGTGTAAAATGCAGACAGGTTGTATTGTGAAAGGCTTTTAAATAGTGGCTTGGACAGCCTCAGTATGCGAGGATTGGATGGTCGCTGCTAAAGATGGGAGGGATATCTGCTCTATTCGGGTGTGGGCGTTTACCCAAAAAGTTTTAAGTCCATCCTTTCGTTGCAAAAGGGGTGCAGTACAACGTGCCATTTAAGTTACATCACACCAATCAATTAAGCGGCATATGTGAACGAGCAAAAGTATGCAGCAGGCGCGCGCACACATACAGACCTTTATTTATCCCTTTGGAGAAACTCCATTAAGGTAATACATTTATCAAGCCTCTTACTTTTAGTAGCCATCTCATCTAAATAGAAGAGAATAGAAAATCCCTTTAATGTCCCACAATAGGAAAATTCTGGTGTTCTGGTGCAGCAAAAAGATTATATAAAAAATGTCATAAAAATGTGGAACTTAGATTAGTTTATAAGAATAACATAATAGTAAAGAGTGTAAAAAAAAATAAACAAGTAAAATACTGTACTGTAAAGTGTTTTAACAATATAAAACCGTGCACCTGGAAAAAAATATAAAGCTATGGACATTTTTACAGTAAAGGATATTTGAAAAATAGATGCAACATCATAGATGTGTAGAATGACAGCAGCATGTTATTTAACTGACTAAGATAGAAACTGCAAAATCAGCATGAATATAACAACTTATTGAGGTTGTTGGGAAGAGTGATGGTTATAAAGTCTCTCAGCTGCTGGGAGGAAGGATCTGTGATAAAGCTCCCAGGTGCATTTAGGGTGCAGGAGTGAGGAGCTCTCCAGGTCTGCAACAGCTTCATGCATGGGATGGGAAACATTATCTAACAGAGATTTACATTTAGTTAGGATCATTTTGTTTCCACCTCATGCACTGAGTCCAGAGGGCAGCAAATCACAGAGCTGGCCTACCTGATCCGCTTATCCAGCTGCTTTCTCTGAGCTACAGCTGTGGACTAGTGGTTAGGGCATAGAGCAGGGGTGTCAAACTGGTTCCAGAAAGGGCAGTTTGGCTGAAGGTTTTCTTACCAACCAAGCAATAGCACACCAGACTCCAGTCATCATGTTCAGACTGGACTCACTTGAGCCCAATCTGAGTTGCAGCCCCACTCCCGCAGACTGCCACTCTGGCTCTTTGAGCAAGACCCTTAACCCCACACTGCTCCTTGTGTGCCCCAAGATGGCAGCCCCACTGCTCCCCAATGGGATAGGTTAAATGAAGAGGTAATTTTCTCCAATGTGAGATCAATAAAGTTCAATTAATTATTAAAGATAAGCCGCTGCTCCAACACAGATCTCTATAGAAAATTGCACAACAGAGTCATAGAGGGCGCTCAGTCTCCTCAGCAGGAAGAATCTGCTCTGAGCTTTCTTATACAGAGCCTCAGTGTTGCGAGTCCAGTCCAGTTTATTATTCAGGTGAACACCTAGGTACTTCATTAATGCTTAATACTGCTGCTGTTCTTACTTTTGGGAAAAAAATAGAATAAACACCATTAACTTCTTGACAGAGCAAGTTAATCCTGCTTGATAGCCACCATAACTTGGTTCGCATGAATATCCATGCAAAGCTGTTAAAAGCACAGAGGGGTTGCTTAATTTAATCAATTTTATATGCACTCAAAGAGATTGGGGGCAAATAGTTTTGTTTTTTAACAATAAACAGTCTTTGGTACCGGGGCTAGAATAAGCTCAGATTTTGGCCTAAGCATATTTTATTCCTTGTTAAAAAGATGTTCCCCTCTTAAAAATTGTACTTTTTTTAACTAAGTATTCGATTCTCGTTCAGAATCTTTTACTCTACAAAGAGTAAATTCCATCTGAAAGATCGCTCAGATTAGAAAGCTTCTTCTCACCTAAGAGCATTAATCACTGTACATTTGAGGTTAATGGTCTTTGCGGTTCAAGTAATAGTAATAGTTCCACAATTGGATTGACTGTTATCTCTCCCTCTATAATCTAGAGATGATTCAAATCTGCTTTGAGGCTCTTCACCATTGCAGATCCTGTAAGTCCGAGGTTTGTTAAGGACACGGCGCTCAGACTTTAAGTCACTGTGTAACTGATGAGGCAACTGTGCCACGTCGTCTAGGAAAAGAGCAGACTAGTTGGGTTCCCACACTTGTGCTCCCTTGGAGCTTACACAAGACACTGGGGTCTTGATTTTCTATTTGGGAAAACATCTAGTGAAGTAGACCCCCCTTCTTCCTTCCTTCACCTATTGCTGGACCTTTTTCAAGTGTTTCCTGTCTCTCTTGCTAAAAGGAAAAGAATTCAGAAAATTAAAGCTACATGTCTAATTAAAGAAAAAAAAAACTGTCAAATGCAGAGAGAAAAAAATAATTTAATAATTGGATGAGTCATTTATTAAGGGCTTTTATGGACAACCTACAATTAATTTGAACCTATAAAGTGGAAGTTTTTTATTCTCCAGTACAGAGATATGAACAAGCAGTTTGAGCTTTGAAGCAAAATGTACAAAAAACATTAAAAAAATGCTTTTCAGTCAAGTGACGAAAACAGTTACAACATATTTAATTGGCCACCCTGGTCTCCTCATAGATTCAGAAATCTCTTTTCTTCAAAAGCCTTGAAACTCAAGTCTCTCATGTTCGCCTGACCAGATGGGTTCTCTGAACCAGCAAATCCATTGTTGCTTTTTCGTGTCCCATGACAACAGAGCAGGTCTTCAGGTGTCAGGTTTCACTGGATCTACTTTCTGAAGCGTTTGAATAGCGGGTGAACGCTCTTGCCTACTGCAGAGGCTTTGTTTCCCCGGCTTTGATATTCCATATAGACTGTGTCATCTGCGCCTGACATGGAGCTCATGGTGCCAGCTCGCCTGGAGAACTGAGGAAACAGAAAGAAAGTGTTAAGATGGAAATGCTTCAACAGTCATTTTTAGAATTGCACTAAAGTGTAGACTTCTTTATATAAAAACACTTGAAGTTAGGGTTTGGCAAAATTATGTTTTATGGATATCTAAACCTTTGTTTTTAGCATTGATATACCATTTGATTTTAGATCATTTAAATCACACCAAACAGCACCTCAAATCTTGTCCAATATGAAAGGGCTTTTATTTTTTTGCCTAACATTTATTAATTTTCTTTTTTAAGATGCATGTCTTATCTCTATCGCTCTATCATAACAATAGCTAATATTTAAAGTGCCTTTCAGAACACCCATGGACTGTGTACAACAAACATAAACAACAATACACAATATTAAAAACACAACATATAATTGGTGGAGGTGTGCAGTCTTTAATGGATGAGTTAAAAAATATTACCATTAAATTATAGCTAATAATACCGTCCTGCTGCTCCATCTGATTCTTTTCAATGAAATTTAATTTCTACAGGAAAAATGCTAACAAAATTTATTTCCTTTTAATTTTACTTCCCAATAACAAATCCATCCACATTTTCTGAATATCAGCACAAAATTGCCATATTGCCAAGGTAGTGCGGTTCACTATTAGGGTTGTCAAAAGTATCGATACTGAAATGTTGGATCCGGATACAATACTCGTTTTTAAAAGTATCGATACAGTGCCACCACCAGTGGCACCTACTGTAAGCAGTCATTCATCTAAAGTGCAGAATAGAGGAAAATGCACTTTCTGAACACTGTGGGATTGATTAATTCTGTGCACTTTTCAGTTTCACACTTTTTTTTTTTTGTAAGAGGTGCAGCTGCTGAGAATTATTTTTGTTTCTTAACTGGTTTGGCTAGTGTCATTGTTATGTGTGCAAAGCATAGCCAAGGAAGGAACACTTAATTTAAATTTGATAAGTTTTTTATCAAGCTTGCTTGATATTGTGCGCAGCATACAACCTTTATTGTATTTATTTATTGTATTTTATTTGTTAATGAAAATATTTCTGTTGAATTTTGGAGTCTGTTTTTATCCTTGTGGTATCGAAAATGGTATCGAGTATCGAATATTTTCCTTAGTATCGGTATCGAGTTGAAAAGTTTAGTATCGTGACAACCCTATTCACTATAGTGAGCTTAATATTCCCCTTCTATTTTTTTCTGGATAGACAAGTCAGAGCAGCTCAATCTCACTGCAGAGCTGAGTCTGTCGGAGTTTTAAGTCGTACAGTGTGAGCAGCAGCTGCGTGCAACGACTGAAAAAAAAAAAAAAAAGAATTGCACAGTATACGCCCGGCTTTATGCAGTAGAGACAAATGATGTCTTTATAACTAGAACTTCCAAGTCAGTAATTTTGATGGTTCTGAGATTTTGACGTACCGGTAAAAAAACTTTTTTACAATAATCATATGTTGGTCACGTTAACCGACTTTTCAAGTTTCTATAGTTCCTTCATTTTAATATTTTTTTTAAAAAGAAAAAAAAATCTGAAAAACAAATATGGTTAAGAATAAATATGGAGAATCAATCAATTTCTGTAACTAAAATTGTCATTTTAAACTTTGAACCAGTGTAGCAAAAAAAAAAACACAACACTTATTTATTTTACTGATTTATTTTTAATGCAAATTTAGACTACAAATGATAATAGCATATAATACAGCCTTAAAAAAAAGTAGTATATATATATATATATATATATATATATATATATATATATATATATATATATATATATATATATATATATATAGACTTGTTTTAAGGTCTACATATCCACAATGGGTTTATATGACACGCTTGAACCATTTCAGTCAATGACATCATCACTAATCTTGCATTCCATTAAGAAAAATGTCACCCGTCATTTAGTTAAAGCCCTCACCTGTGGTCGGACTCCCACTTCGCCTGCCACAACTTCCTCCTCAGCATCCAGGTCTGAAGCAGCCAACACCTTCTGAAGCAGCTGCTGCTGTTCTTCTCTGGTGGAGAACATCAGATTCTCTTCCTCCATACCTGCAAGCTTTGTGATAACCTTTCAAAGAAAAAAGAAACATTAACAAACATGAAACAAAGTTACGTGCAAGCGTAGATGGATTTCACTCTAAATCCATACACATGTTGATTCATATAATGAGATCTAAAACTTTCCGCTTTTAAAAACTATTCATAGTTGTTTAAAGATAGAGATTTGTATCCATATATCTGAACACCAACATCCTAAAACTCAATACATTTTAGATTTAAACTGGATTGAAAAGGGAAGTTATAAAAACCATGTTCTGGAAACAGAATTACCTTCTGACTTTTAAAAAAATTCATTATGAAACAGATCTGCGATATAAAATACAATCTGTCCAGAATTTAAATCATTTGATCCTGCCAAATATGGTAGTGTCTGTGCTGAATCTCTTAAGTCTTCCAAATGGTTTTAGAAAGATCACACCACAAAGCAGAGGGCATGTAAGGTTGACTCCATCCAACTTTAAGCCACCAGTCTAAAGGGATACTTCATGTGATTTGTAAATGACCATAATCCAATTGGTGTGTCTCAATCTGAATAACTTGAGTGAACCCATGAAGGAAAACCCATTCAGACATCACTTCAAGCTCTTTTTTTAAACTTTCTGACCAGGTACATATGTGACTGACATAATCACATCTATCTGATCAAATCCAATTAACATCTTATTAACTATTAAACCTACTTTGACCTTTGAGTATAGACTGGTTATCACTCTTTAATATATAGCAATGAGGCTGTGGCAAAGAGCTGTGACCATAATTTTTCCATGAAGCTCAAACATATCATAGATGCTTTCTGACTTTGTTACCTCTTTTATTTAAAACTTTAACATTTTTGGGGGGGTTCTGTGTGTATTGCATGGTCTCTTTATATGAAAGCCCTCATTGCTGTTAGGTTTAAGGACATAATTATGACTGCTAAACATGTTGAGAAGACCAGCTGCATGAGACCTGACCTTTCTGGCTTGACAAACAAGCAGGAGAGTTCTTCTATCCTATCACACCAAAAAAAACTCCAGGATTAAAGGACTAAAGTCTCAACTGGACCTTGAAAAACAGCTTCATGTGTTAATCTACAGTAGATTTGATTACTGCAACAGCGTCCTCTCAGGTCAGCCTAAAAACTCGATCAGACAGCTGCAGTTCATCCAGAACGCTACTGCTTACACCCTCACTACGACTTAGAGAGAAGAGCCAATCACCTGCATTTCTAAATGTGTTACTATCTATCCTCGTACCACAGAAAATAAACTTTAAAATACTTCCTTATGTATACATGTCACAGAACACCGCAGTACCAATGTTCCTTCTAATTTTTCATGTGTCTGAGCATACACCCAATCTCCCCGAGAATAGTGAGGACCTCTATGTGGAGGCCACACACCAATACTAAACTTTGTATAAACCTGGGATCATAGAAATTTACATTGTTTATTAAAGAGATTACAGCAGCAAATTCCATTAGTTTACTCTAATGTAAGTGCTTTGACCCTCTTAAAAAAAAAAAAACAACCTGTTTGTCATGAGATGAGTTGTATGCTACATGTAAAGCCGCTTTTTCACACAAAACCCAGGTTTTTCAAAACTGGGTAAACCTGCTAAAAATCAACTTTTGGCTGCTTTTACAGGCTCTTTTGACAGAAAGGCTGAGTCTGACCCCCTGCTGTCAAGCTCCGTGGTCACTGTCCCCAACCACTGCGTGTCTGATGACGGCATCACGCTGGGTGAGCGTTAATGATGTCGACAGTGCGCAGAAAATTAGCGAAGTAAATAATGGAGAGCAACAGGAGCAGGACAGGACAGGAGCTAGAGCGTAGTAAGTATGCTTTATTATCTGTCTGAATCTCTCTCACCACCACCATGTTTATCGAATGCAAAGAGATATGTTTCGGCTTGTTAGATCAGAAGCGACTGGCGCCGTGTGCTGAAGTCCGTATGTTGTGTTCAATGGCATCACATAATTTAGTGGTTCAACCACGGTCTGGTCTTGCCACAGCATGCTGATCAGAGCAGAAGCAATTTTAATGCTGGTCACTTGCCAAGTTGTTTGACCCGGGTAGACACGCGTCAGTGAGCTGTTCCTACTGCCAGTAAAAGCAGAATGTTTCCGGGTTTAAACAGGTTTTTTGGCCAAGGGGAAAGGGGTATAAGAATCCTAGTTTAGCCAAGGTGAGGGTCATGCTCTGAAAAAATTAGACATACGTTTTTGTTCACCTTAAAACATGTTATGAAAAATCAATGTGAGCCGTAGCTTGTGATACAGTTTTATTATGCCTGTCTACTAACATTAATCATATAATAGTGTAAGCAATCAATGATTAATATCCATAAACAGGCTTTTAGTTAGCAGTGCATGTAGCTGTACATTGTACACCCTTTACAGTTTTTTTTTTTTGGCTCAAATTAAAAAAATTTGCCGATACGGTCTTCACCGGGCCGCCATCTTGAATTCCCCTAATCTCGCATTAATCTCACATCTTGTGAATCGGAAGAGTCGCATCCTATTGGTCATATGTCGGCATGACGCAGCACGGAGGGGCGTTGTTATTGGTGGAATATCTATCCCTACGGACAATTTCATTGACGGGAAGAAACATTGCGCTGTTTGCAAACAGGTAAGCTTAAAACTTTGAAAACACATCAAATGCTGAATAACTATAGGACTATCTTGACGTTTTTCCTTTGTTCTTTAGGTCTTTCGCACAAGACCTGCTTCCACATCAAGCAACCAGCAGACTGAGGTATTTATGGCCATAAAGACAATATGCTATAAGTAAGATTTAAATACATATATTCCCTCTTACTTAGGTTTTTTTTTATATAAATTTTATTTAGTATAATCTAAAAAAAAAAAAAAAAAATCAGGGTATTAAAACAGTTGTTTCTCCTATTTTCAGTGTTGGTTTTAAATTGAAAAAGAAATGATACACTGATTTAAAATGATACAGAAAAATGTTAATGGCCTTATGTATTTACAGTTTGTTGGATTTTATGTAATGCGCTGCATAGATTTTGTTGTGCGCCATGAAAGCGCAAGCAGTCAACAGCTTAGAGGGAACATTGCTTTGCAACAAAATACATTATAGACTTCTAAGTGTATCACCCACCCAAATCGTAAAGCTCTGCAGTCTAAAATCTATTCGGAACAATCAAGAACCAGAACCAAACATGGAAAAGCAGCTTTTAAGTCTTATGCTCTACTAGTCTGGAATAAACTCCCAGAAAACTAAATCATGTAACCCTCAGTTGCTTTAAATCTAGATTAAAAACGTTGTTGTTTAGAGAGGGCTTTAACTGTGCTACAGTGTCGAAGCATTATTAGTGAAGTTTGTCTAACTTTCCTTTAATTATCTTATTGGTATTTGTATGTTTTAAATAATTATTTCAATGATTTTTACTTATTATTTTTGATTCTAATTGATTATCTAATTACCTTAATGCTTATTTTGTCTCTTTTTTCCACAGGTAGAGTACTTAAATTTTGTTTAGCTACTGAAATGCAAGGTATTAAAAAAACTTCCTTTAAGCCATACAGTTTTTAAATAATGATGATTTAAATTAAAGTTTTTGATTTTTCATTTCATGCAATTCATTTTATTGCCTTTCAGTTACATTCCAACCTTACGATCAGTGTTGCTGAAATTGGAATGCGTTAATTTATGCGTTAATTTATTTGCTTAATTACAAAGCAAAGAGTACATTTGTTTTATGAGTATTTTACACTAGGAATAAAGAATAATGTTTAAAAAACAAAGACCCAGGTCTGGCAAAATAACAGGCATCATCTTGTCTTTATTACTTATTAATTCCCTCACATTAATTCAATAAAATAATAATAAAAATAATTGAACTTTATTGATCTCAAATTGGAGAAATTTACCTCTGCATTTAACCAATCCCCATGGGGAGCAGTGGACTGCCATGATGGGGCAGAGGGACCCAGAGTGGGAGTGGGGCTCGAACTCAGAACCTCAGGATTTAAAGCTCTATGCCCTAACCCAGGGGTTGGCAACCCGTGGCTCCAGAGCCGCATGTGGCTCTTTATTGTCCCCCTTGCGGCTCCCTGGAGCTTTTTAAAAATTTATAAAAATATATATATATTTTTTTGTTCTAATATGGTGTGCAGGAGGTCAAACAAAAATGTATTATGTTTTTTTCAATGCTGTAAACATTTATATAATAAATAAATGTATACAATTTACATCATGGCCATCATTATAACTTGCAACCAGTGCGGCGTGGTGCCAGGCAAACAAAGCGGCGGGTGTGTCTCGGACCATGGATTCCAAAGGGGAAAAAGGAAGATAGCTGATGAGAAAAGAGGATTAAAAGGATGGAGCGAATCATTTGATTTCATTATCAATGCGGAAGCAGCAGTGGATTCCACGCAATGACAGCGTTCACAGCTCATCGCTCACCTCATGCTACTATGCGACATTTGCTCAAGAATAAACATTTAACCTTGAATGCTTATTAATATATAAGCCCACATAGTCCTTTTCTATAGTGGAATAATACACTTAGAGCCCATGTTGCCATATGACACATATATAAGACTTTTACATTTTTGCGGCTCCAGACAAATTTTTTTGTTTGTTTTTTGGTCCAATATGGTTCTTTGAGCAGTTTGGGTTGCTGACCCCTGCCCTAACCATTAGGCCACCAATCCAACCCAGCCTTTTCTTCATTTATCTTCAAGTTGACATGAGAAATGGTGGCAAAATGCTGAAAAGCTTCAGCAGTGAACACACCTTAAAACTGTATCCCTGGTCAACAAGGAACCTCTGCCTCTTAGTGGAATAAGCCATCTCCTGGGTGTCCTGGGACACCAGGGAATAAAAGTAGGCGTTGTACTCCTCAGCCACCATTCCTAAACAGGGAGACAAGGATGTTGATCTCAACTGTTTTTGTTCCTTTATAGTGGTGGATGCAACAGTTGGGAAATGTTGAACACTAAGTGGCAGATAGACTAACCTTTCTTGGCTCTTAAGACTCTACCAAGTCTCTGTGCCTCCTGTCTACGCGATCCACCATGGGAAGAGATCTGGATCAGAACATTGGCTTCTGGCAAGTCGAAGGAAGTGTCTCCAACCTGTTCAGATAATCAGAGTTATGCCGCATTCAAATCAAACAATTTCAACTCATATGGAGCTTTAACAAACAGTTAATAGAGATCAAAATTTTAAGACATTTAAACACATTTTCAGTACTCAGATATGCACAGAAATACGTATTTATTTTATAGTGTTTCAGACTGTAATTACCTAAACAATTTTAGGAGGAAAGAAGCTTGTACATTTCCAATTAGGTGCTTCTGAGCTGATGTTGATTATAAATGTCTTAAAGCCTAAAAAAATAATAGCCCCAAATAAGAAATTATGACTAATTAAACTATCTTCATATATTTCCATGGAGAGGTCTGATAACAGAAAAAAAAACAGACAAGACTCTTCATAGAGCTCAGTTAAAGAAATATGTGAACAAATTGGACCAGAACTTTTTAAAAATATTGATTTAGAAGATAGAGGTCACTTGGAAACCATAAGCTTCAGGTGATAGCAGAAGCACATGGGTTGGCTGCTATTTAATCCCTTTTCTATAGTTGTTCTTTCAGCAGCTGCTGTAGCTATTAAGTATTTGCAGGACCTGTAACCTCATCCACAGTGAGCTGATCCTGCCAGACTTTCCAATAACTTAATCTCCTGTACCATCAGGCGTATAGTGAATTAATTAATGATAGTCTTTCAGAGGCATATTTCCCTGAGAATATCCAATGAGGAGCATCCCAACAAAAGATTTAAGGGCTAAAAATATATCTAAATCTGGTTAAAAGATTCATTAGAAGAGGTGCCAATTAGGGTATGGTTAGGCTTGTTAGGGTGTTAGAGGTGGCAGGTGAAAAGGTGTTTATCAAAAATTATAGACGGTGGAAAAGAACATCGCTGCTCTGACGCAGTTGGTTAACTGGTTTACTCTGATTTAGAGCCATAAATGAGGACAGGATAAAGGCAGATTGACTATTGTGTAAGCATAGCAGCACCAGATCACATTATTAAGAGATACATCAGCCATGAAGAAGAAAGTTACAGATTCATAATGATAGGTGCTTGATTGTCACAATGCTGTTGTTAACTATTATTACTGTTATTTCTTTGTATTTATTGTCTTTTATTACGTAATCCGAAAAGTTCACCAATCCTGAGAAAGAAATTGGTTACATTTAGCAGCTAATGTCAGTCTATGGTAGCATTAATGAAATTAATGTTTTACCTTGGAGATGAAAATGGTGTTTATCTTTGGATTGTGCTTAAAATTTTGCAAAATCTGCATTCGTTCTCCCTGAGAGGTGGGTCCATAGATGAAAGGCCTTGAGAGAAAATAACAATTAATTAAGACCAGATTAATAGGTAGCACCAGAATACAACCAATAAAAATAGATTTGAATTTGGAAACCTACTTGTTGAGACGGATGGCATATTCCTTCAAAGCAAAGACATTGTCGGCAAAGACGATAATCTTGTCATTGCGTCGCTCGTGGAAACGGATGAGGAACTGGCAGGCCCGAAACTTATTGGGGTTCATGGTGTAGAGCAGAATGCGCTTCTTCGTCTTAATGGCCACATACTCTCTGTAAAACTCTGGAGACATGGGGCACCAGACCTAAAACACAGACACAAGTATATTGTAGGGCTGCACTTAACAATTATTTTATTTTATTAATCTGTTGATTAACTGTTCGATTACAAGAGAGATTTTTGACAGAATTTAACCAAGTTAAACTGAACCTCTCCCCTTGAGGAGTTCTGGGTAAAGAATATTAAAGGACATCATTTCTTTAACATCTTAAATTCAAAATATCTTTATCTTATTTTGAAATTTTGGTATAATTCCTGCTATAAGTGGGTCGCTCTGTCAGCTCAAGGCATGTTTCAGAGTCTCTATACTCTGGTTAACGATTAATCGGCTACTAAATTAGATTAGAATAGAATAATACATAGATAGATTAATCACAATTAGTCTGATTAATTGTTTCAGCCCTAGTACATTGCTTTAGTTTTGTGGTGTGATAACAGAGCCATCTGCACCATCCTACTGTAGAATAGCAAAGATTTGGTGCCAACAGATTTTTAAATGGTTCTCAGACTTTGAAAAACCAGATGACACCAGCAATAGACCTTACTGTTTAATATGGATAAGAGACGTTTATATTACAGCTTTAACCTTTATTAAAAGCTTTTGAGTTCAAATTGCTCCTTCATCCTTTTCCGCCAACACTCCACCAATCTTCATAAAAAAAAAAAGTGGAGTAATTGGTATAACTATTCAAAACAGTTATGGTTTTAAAATTTTTCCTTCATATTTCTCCAGTATTTCAATAAAAAAAATGCAGACGAGTCTATTTAGACCGAGTTAAATGAGAATGCTGCAACTATTTTCATTCATTCACCTGTTGCTACACAATGCTAGTCAGCTGACTGAAACATTTTATTTCACTTACAGCAAAGAAACTTACCTGGAGGGAATATTTTTGGTAAAATTATCATTAATAAAACAATATATAAAAAAGAGAGCAGCAAGGAAATTATGATGAAAAACTCATGGTTCTGTTCTGATTTTGCTTACATCTGCTTATTAAAATCGAATGAACTTAACTCTAAATTGATGTATTCATTCCTAATAGAACTAAAATTCTTATTTAAGGTTATTCTTTGATGACAAAGCCATTCACAGCTAGAGTCTTTGTACAGATTTGTGTGAAATAAAAATCATATAAAGTGTTTAAAACTATTCAAACTAATTAATCAGTTAGCTTCTAGTATTAGCAATGTTTTAAGACATGTTCTGTTTCTGTACTTTAAAAACATGCAGTAACATTCTATTAATCTTAAATCAATTAGAGAATCTGACAATTAAGGAATTAGGTTGTTCTTTGAATCTTTATTTCAACTTTGTTCTTTATTTCAAAGATGGAACAAAGTCTTGGTCCTTCTTCTAGAGTTGGTAAACAGGTTACCTGCTTTAGGTTAACACACTACGGCTGCATGTTTCTTGCTTGGATAATTGTTAGCTTGATTTAGCCTAGTATAATCCAATCATCCAGTTATTTCTCTTTTCCTTTTCCTTCATGTTAAATCTCACTTCCAGCATCTTTAGGGATATTAATCTATCTGCACTGTCTGGCTCTACATGACGCAGCAGTAAAACCTTTCCCTCATCAGCATCATTTACTGTATTTAACAAAAACAGCAACTTTTTTTAAAGAATCATATTTAACTTTAAAGGTAATATATAATATTATATGTGTTTTAATATACCATACGTTCCCACTGATGAATCTCATTCTTGAAATCTCTTCTGAAGACTAAATAAAGCTTACCTCTGCACACTGGACTTTTGCAATGTAACCATTGTTCTGCAGCTCCATCCAGTTAGCTTCATACAGCTTAGGACCAATTAGGAAGTTAAGATCCACAATCTTGTCGTCTTCCCTGACCAGTGTGGCGGTGAGCCCTAGTTTGCAGTGGGCTTGGACAATAGTTAAGACCCGTCGAAACATTTTTGCTGGAGAAAGATGTAAAAGGTTTCAAACTTTATCTCCGACCTTTGTTTACATGCAGCCTGATTACTTCCTGAAGCGATGCAGGGAGCCTACCTGGGATGGTATGAACCTCATCCAGGATCATAAGTCCCCACTCCTGTGTGCGCATCCACTCCATGACCTTCTCAGCCTCCCAGGATCGCTTGGTGGTGTGACCCAGCATGGAGTAGGTACTGATTGCCACTGAGCAGCCAATAGGCTTGTCCTTGGCATCGGAGGTGAAGCGGCAGATCTGAGAGTCGTCGATGGTGGACCACATTTTGAACTGCGCTTTCCACTGCTCCACGGACACCGAGGAGTTTCCCAGCACAAGGCAGCGTTTACGCACTGTGCATGCAGCGGTCACACCCACCAGAGACTTGCCAGCTCCTACACAAGAAAATGAAGATCAGACCGTAGATATAAGCAACATTACACTAAAAGGCATTAACATGTTTAGAGAAAATGGACACTTGATGTTTAGTCCTCTTCTGACTCTTACCGCAAGGCAGCACTATGACGCCCGATCTTGCACGGCCATTTCCAAACATCTTGCGCAGACTTTTTTCCTGGTAGGGCCGCAGCACCGCAGTGGGCTTGAGGTCAATGTTGATGTCAGGGTTAACTGTGTCGTTTCGAAAGTCATACTCGGCTAGGAGAGGGTACTCAAGCTGAATGCAACGCTTCTGCAGCTCCTCTATCATTTCCTACGAAGGATCAGGTAAAGATGATGTCAGAACTCTATATGCAATGTGCATTCAGGTAACATAAACACTTCCTCACATAATAAAATCATAAAAAACTATGAAACACCTATGGCTAGTGCAAAGGAGAATCAAAACAAAAATTAGTTGAAATAATTTAGCCTATTTTTTTGGCAAAATCATTCAGAACTTGTTGAAAATAAACATACCTGTCGAATTTCAAAAGACACAGTCTGAGTCTCTTCCTCCTCCTCTTCCTCCTTGTCCATCTGTTCATAGTAGCTGAAGATGTCCTCTGGGACCTGTTGGGTTAAAGCTTGTCCATCGCCTGGCTGCTGTGAGGTGGAGGCACCACCTTTGTCCTGGACACCCTTAGAAATCTGTCAGGAAAATAAAACAGGAGCTGAGCTGAAAATTCAAAGACTACAATGACAATAGTAGCAAATTATTTGCAAAATAAATTAACTTGATTTTTTCTTTATGGTATGAGACCTAATTTTTTAAAGGTTAAGATTAATCACTTAACTGCTGAGGATCGAGTTATCTGACAAATTTATGCAAGAGTGTTTAATCTTTGGTTGCATACCGCAGACTTGCTGTGGATGACTTCAGTAATGAGCTCAGGGTCCGATCCGTCGGCACTTCGCAGGCGACATTCACGAATCACGTTGTCCTGCAGGAGATTCTGAATGACATCAGGGAACGCGCTTTCTACAAAGTACCTGAGAGGAGAGGAGGAAGAGTCAGGGAGTCATTTATGAGGCATCAGAAAGACAGCATCATTTTTTAAAAGCCGATTTTACCTGTTGTGCTTGAGCACAAGCTTGACTTTCCCATAGCTCACAGTGCAAAGCTAGGAGAGAAAAGTTGATTAGAATTAATAACTTAAATAATTAAGCTAAAGTTCCTTTGAAAATGATGCCTTTGTCATACTTTAATAAACTGTACAATGCCATCAGGTACAGATGTCTTGCTTAGTTTCTGCAGGTACTCGACGATATCCGATGTCTGCAGGCCCACACTGACGGCTGCATAGAGCGAGTACGCCGTCAGCTTGTACTCATGGACGTGGTTAGGCCTGCAGACAGGCTCTGCAATGGCCACTAGGAAATCCTGAGCATACTTATACACAGGAGAGAACGCTTCTAGAAAGATGTGCCCATCTGGAGCCTGGAGGAGATATATAGAAAATAGAATTACAAATGTGTTTTCAAACCCAGAAAGGTGCTAGAGTTCTTTTTTTTTTTTTTTAACAATGAAAAAATAAACTTCAAACTTCTTACCACCCAGAGGGGGCGTGAAGAATGGTCTTTCTTGAGCTGCATCTGAACACGGTAGTCTTTGGCTCCATACTCGTCGAGCTTTGTTCCGGACTCATCCACCTGTTTTCCTGCAGCAGCCGGTACAGCCTCCTGGGGCTCACTGGCCGTCACCTCATCCTCATCGTCTTCCTCCTCATAATAACGTTTCTTGGATTTCTTTTCTACACGCCGACAGACCAGTAAAAAAAAAAACATAACTTGCTAGAAAAAAAGGTCTTAAAAATAGAACTGATAAAAAAAAAAAAAAAAAAGATTTTTGATTGTTGACATGGCCCTTTCAAATCGCAACCTGCTCTCCATCACAAATTCCGTCACAAATTTCATTCAATTCAGAAGTCTGGAATCAGAAAGACTTTATTTTCCCCTTTTCTGTAAAGTGTGTGCTTTTGCCGAGTAATATCCTCACACTTATCTGAATCATATTCAGCGTTTAATTACAACTAATTTGATTATCATAAAATGTACTTGATAAAAAAAATTAAAAAAAACATTGCTTGCCTGTGGCTGTGAAACCTGGGATCGATCCGAATACCTCAAATTGTGGCTCCTAGCTCCTATTTCTAGCTCCTATCACTTCACCTTTAATGGCGTCAACAGCAAGAAAACTATCAGGGTTAGAAAATGAGATCCTGACTGCTGTGCTGAAGTTAGACCGTCTTCAGCCTTACCGACATCATTTAATAAGACAGGACACAGATACAGACATGAATGAGGCTCGTCAAATTGGGACTGCAGCTTTCAGGAAAAGAACAAATAATAAGAGTTACCAAACTTAGTGAACAGCTGAGGCTCTCCTTTATAGAAAATAATCCCTGCATTACTGTCAGCACTATTCAGACCGCACTTACTATGGGAGCCGTGGATGCACTTCAATGTGGATTAAGTGTTCTTATTGATTTGAGGTGTTCAGACAGAGCAACTATTCTGTGAGCTGCTCTCAGTAAAACTCGATGCTAGTCTAACACTGTTGCCAACTTGGTGACTTTGTTGCTCCATTAAGTGACTTGACAGACCTCTGTTTTTTTCTCTCTTTCTTTCTTTCTCTCTTTCTTTCTTTCTTTTCAAAAACATAACAAACGTCTCTGGTTGCCTTTCATATGATAATATATATTACAATATTTTCTAGAGAAGAGGAATTGACCAGAGAAATTATAATGATCTGTACAGAAAGAGGGTACTACAGAAAACTTTACCAAAGTCTGGATCTTGACTAGACCCTTCCAACAAATGAATATGCTTGGATCTTCCTGCTGAGGAGACCGAGGTTTTTTGGAGTGCAGGGGGCACTTCTAACGACCTTCTCTGACTCTGTTACAGCATCAGCTATCTTCTATGGAGCCGTCTGATGAAGCTGTGGCTAATCTGTAGCAGAGAGAAAGCGGCTGGATAAGCTGATCAGGCCAGCTCTGTGATTTGATGTCCTCTGGACTCAGTACAAGAGGTGGGAAACAAAATGATCCTAACTAAATTAATATCTCTGTTGGATAATGTTTCCCACCCCATGCATGAAGCTGTTGCTGAACCTGAGAGCTCCTTCAGTGACAGACTGCTGCAGATTCTTCCTCCCAGCAGCTGTAAGACTTTATAACCACCACTGTTCCCAACATTCTCAATAAGTTGTTACATTCATGTTGATTTTGCACAGTTTCTATCTTAGTCAGTTAAATACCATGCTGCCATCACATTTTACACATCTCAGATGGCGCCGATATTCACACATATATAACACAAAAAAAATCCAAAAAGCTATATAGGGGATATATTCTCCAGGTGCAAAGTTTTATACTGTTAAAACACTTTACAGTGCAGTATGTTATCATTTATATTTTAACTCTTCACAATTATATTATTCTTATACATTTTTCTAAGGTCCACATTTGTGTGATTATTTTATTCTATAATCTTCTGTAAACACCAGAATTTCCCCATTGTGGGACAAAAAAGGGATTTTCTATTCTATTCTTAAACATTTTAGGCTTCACTGTGAGATGAAGGGCAGTCTTCCAGGATTTTCTTCCAGGATTTCCTTGTATTTGCTTTCATTCATCTCCACATTAGCTTCTCCTTTTAATCCAGAGGAAAAGCTTTACCACAACACAGCATTTTCCATGCAGGTAAACAAAGAGTACAACATCTGATCAGTACATATTCATCCATTTCCACGTGACAGCAGAGTCCCCAACGTTGCTGAAGGGAAATTTTAAATTTGACCATTTAAGGATTTACTTTTTTGCCTTTCTTCCATAAAGGCTGATTCATTACTTAGTTACAGGCTTATTTTTAGGTGGATAGATAAAAGGTGCTTCTTAAAGCTTGGGATTACAGTTTAATATAATTTGATCTCCCGAGAATGTTAGGTTTACATTTCACCTTTTAGTATTAGAGGTAATAACCCGAAACAAATTATTTTAGTAAAATAATTAAACCCTGCATGTTCAATAAAACAAATTACCCACGTTATATTTCAGCTAACAGTTTAGCTAGCTAGCTAAAGTATGACAAACTATCATCAACATACCTTTATCTCCTTTATCTCTTCTGCCCATCTTAAAAGGTTTAAATGGGCAATGCAGAAAAATAACTAAATGACATATTAAAGTAGAGATATTAAACTCTGTTCAATACCGCATCCATTTTATGCTGTGCTTATTTTTTTTTTTTTCCTTCTTCTTCTTGATTAATGGCAGATTACAACCCTTGTTTATAGGTGTGTAGCGCCACCTACCGCGCCGGAGTACGTAACAAGAATAATCTCCAGTGGGATTTCTACTAAATCCTACATCATATTCCTTATATTCCTAAAAAAGTGTATAATCGCTTTTGTTGCGTTTCTTTCATACTCTCTCTCTTGTTAAACCTTTGCTTCTTCTCTTATGTGAATTGCATCCTTTCTCCATTCAATTCCCTTCAATACAATTAAATATGGTCTCCACTTTTAATTCTTTCACATTCTAAACACTTATACCTTGACAAACCCAGTGTGATCAAATCTAAATCTAGACATAATACTCTCCTCTCTTCGTTTATTTCACACTATTGGCATTATTATCTCAGCTTCCCCTTTTCCACAAGGGATATTTATAATATTAATTATCCTAATAGTTTTTTTTAATTATTTTTTTATTTTACCTATTTTGTCTGCTCCCTGATTTCCATTTCAAAATACATGAGCCAAGCAAACATTCACAATTATTTTGGGATTGTTAAGTTTGAATAAATTTTGTAAAATTTCCAACAATAAATCCTCTCTTTCTTATTCTTAACATTATAGCAGGCTGTTAAAGAATTAACAAAACAAACTACTCTGTCAGGTCTTATTTCCTTTATATAATCCTATAGTTATCCCCATCATCTCTGCTGTGTACCCCACGTAAGACACTTTACATGTGCAAAGCATGCACAGCAAATATTAGTTTAAGGGCTCAAAGCACATAGCATTGAAATGCAAAACGCGCCCTTTTGGAGTTTACTTTGGTTATAAAACAGTCTTGTGTTAGTCTAACTATGTATTATGCCTTTGTAAATATATTACAGAATAGGCTATTTGAAGACACTTGCTGTCAACACAGCTTTGTCTAAATAAATTGTGATTTTGGTAGATAGCCGCAATCATGTTTTTTGGAAGCAAATGGTCTTTATTCATTCCTAACCAATACAGTTTGAGAAATAATGTTTGCTTTATGTATAAAAACACGATAATAACGAAATATCACAATGAAAATAATATGTTTCTGTTTTAAGCATTCTGTTTTTATATCAAATTGATATGTTTTATATAGTATATACATATATTAATTTGAAACTACATATGGTATTCACAGAATGATAGAGCCAAGTTCTTCCTATGATTATTATGAGTATTTTATTCAGAAGAAGTCAGTTCCTTAAAACTCATTAATTTATAAGAAGTTATATGTGAGATGAACTATTTCAAGTGCACTGTGACAGCCAGGTGTTTTGCTCAAAAAGTAAATGCCTCACACATTTAGATTTCACCAAAGGGTAACAGGTTGTATGTAAAACCTAGGATTTGAAATAAATTGGATAAAATTTGTAATAAAATATCCAACCTTTTCATTGAATATACTTATTCATTATGTGTTCTCCAAGTTAGGTGGTCTTGATTTTCTTTTACTTTGTAATTACAATATTAACAATAAGAAAATTCTTTTGGCATGTCAACTACAACTTCAGCTCCATAAATGTTACATATTGTCCTTTATTATTATTATTGTTGCTAGAAACCACAGGCATTTTTGTGCTATGGTATACTTATATCTTATTTATTTATTTTGCTTGTTGTGTCATTTTCTTCTGCATTTCAGTTTGGTGTATTTCATGATCTGTTTAAAATTTCAACAAAGATAAAATAGAAAGTTTCTTCACCCACACACAGGCGCTTTGCCGCCCTCTACTGTACATCCATCAGATCGCAAGGGATGTCTTTATTCATATTAAAGAGATATAAGATGCTTTTTCATTAAAGGAAAAAAAAAACTGACCATTATCAAAACATTTTTGTTGTTTTCTTTAATATATATTCTTAAAGGATACAAATTTCTAAAAAGTTTGTGAAAAATGTATTCTAAGGATCGCATGTGATATCGCATAATTATAAATTACAAAAAACACAATTTTATTTTTTATTTTTTTTCTTGTGTTAGCTTTAATTTTGTTTTTTGTTCTGGTTTTACCGCTTAGTTTATGGGGTTAGGGGCTACCTTAGAATCCAGGGACAGCATTTGTCGGCCGCATGCGAAGTTATCTTCTAAACTGAGGAGCCCGCTGCGCGCCACTATCAATCGGCCGACAAACCTGGCCAGCCGCTGAATTCGAATGCGGCCGAAATGACACATCCGCCGTTCCATTGTTTACTTCCGGGTTAAAGGGTCGTGTATGTGTCCAGATTCAGATTAGCGTAGCTGTCTTTTTGTGTGCAGGTGAGACTGAATTCCTGTCATAATAAAAAACAGGCAAAGTTATATCAAATATGTCGTCCGATAAGATAATTGGACCTGCTTTACCGCCGATGTTTAATAAGGAGGATTCTGACAGTGATGAGGAGGAAAATGATTGTAAGAAACAGAACGAGTCTGAGGCCATCTTGGAATGTGTTTGTTTTCAATAATTTATTCCAGCTGAGTTGTGTTTTTGTCTCTTAATATCCCATAGTCGCTGGTCCTGCGCTGCCTCCTGGTTATAAGAGGAGTGAGCCGTCGAGTTCCTCTGAGGAGAGTGAGCCGGAAGTGGCCCCCAAAAGAGCCAGAACAGCAGGAGCTGCAGAGTAGGTCCTCACTTTAGTGTTTGGTTATAAAGAAAACATTTGAAAAACACAATATTAACACGTGTTTCTGAGCAGGGGGTCAAAAGATGATGACGATGATGGTTTCTTTGGACCAGCTTTGCCTCCAGGATTTAAAAAGCAGCAGAGTTCACCAGAAAGGTGAGTAATAATATGGGACAAGACAACTGCCAATAGAATAGAAAATCCCTTTATTGTCCCACAATGGGGGAAGTTGTGGTGTTTACAGTAGCAAAAGGTTATAGTAGGAGTGGTCACACAATGTGCACCTTAAAGAAGTGTATAAAAATAGCAGATAGGAAAATAAAACTAGTAGAGTACTGTACTGTACAGTGTTTTTACACTATAAAAACTGTATCTGGAGAATAAAAAATAATCAGTAATAGCTGTGGACATTTTTACAGTAATGGATATGTGAAAAATAGCAGCAACACCAAAGATGGTCAAAAGAATGACAGCAGCATGTTATTTACTAAGATAGAAACTGTGCAAAAATCAGCATCAATGTGAAAACTCCTTGAGGTTGATAGGAACAGTGATGGTTATAAAACATACGGGTAGGTGTCTTCATTTGTAAATGTAACTCAGTAAACATGAAAATATTTAGAATTTGTTTTTTTTTTTTTCTCCCTTGTTGTCGACTTGACATTCCAAGTGAACTCAAATGCTCCGGCTGTGAGAATATAAGTTTAGAAGTTACAAAAACACATTAGAACTTTGCACCAATGCCTGTGCAAATGACATATTTACGAGTACCAATCCAATCCAGGAGTACCTGAGACTACTGATGAAGCTGTTACATTTCTTACAACTGGTGGCGGTAAATGTGCCTAAAAAATTTTTACCAGCCACCATTAAACAAGAAGAAGACAACTGTGAAGGTTATATGCAGTCGGCTGTGTTCTATTTCGAAGGACCCAGTCCAGGTAAACTGGGTCCTTCGGAGGCTGGAAGAGATCGGTTATAGAATTGAACAGGTTGAGCCTTCTCCAGCTGTCAATGCCCCTCACTCACTCTGTCGCCTAGCAACCATGACATTTGTCTCACAAAGTAGGCAAAGACTAGATGCCGAACTACTAACTACTGTTATGTGCGCTAATATAATCTTGGAGCAGCTTCAGCAGCAGTACTGTCGTTGCAGATATCAGATCTGTTGTTCCCACACAGTACAGATAATGGAATCTGATCTGCTTAAATGTCAGCCGTTCAATAAACCAAGCATTACCTGCAACATGTCTGACTCAACAGCTGGTATCCACGGCACCATAATCGGCTGACAAATCTGGCCTTCGGAGGAAGCAGCCGTCGGATTCGAACACAGCTATAAACTGCCCTGATGTGGTCCACTCTATGTGATCTAGGGCTATGCTTCTCCAACCGCCTGCTGTTGGCCCTCTTAGACCTAGCCACCCACTGCCTCTACTAGCTCCTGTTTACTACGTCCCAAAAATCTTTAATGGTCACTGTCCCTAATATAATATTTCATGTTTTTTAAGGATTATGTTTTTTTTTATAACTTGTTATAAAAAAAAATAAAATAGTAAGTTTGTGTGGGATTCGATCCCAGCCAAATCAATATTTTTATTAATAAAGCCAGGATGCATTGCTATCCAGAAACATAGCAACAGGACCACACTGTCACATCGACATAGGATGAAGTAAGGAATGCGCTTTAGAGGTTTGTAGGTGGCTTTTATAAAAATGATTGTGTCATCATTCATCCTCCTCATGTAGCCCGTATAGGTCCGATGTGGGGTACACTGGAAAAAATCAAAATGTGGATAAGTCATTTTTTCCACAATAAGTGCATTCTTTCTTGGAATGAGGAGGTAAAAGAGAGATTTTGCCAATGGAAAACACAATTGCATTGTCTTATTTCAAGTGCATGTTATCTAATTATCTTATTTTAAAAGTAAAAGTCATTTAGCTACTCAAATTAAGGGTAAATACAATTAATTTAAGACATTTTTACTTATTTCTAGATCGTTTTTCCAGTGTACAGTCCACTCTGCCTCACTCAGCTTCATTATCTTTTGGGGATTTGGCTGCGGTCTACTGCTAACCTTCTCCGGGAGAGCAAAGGTGGATAACAGCAGGATGTTGGAGGAAGATAGCCCTAGATTACACAGAGTGCACCGATGGTCATTTTCAGATGTGCATTGGTCCAAATTTGTAACTTTGTCATTTGTTATTGTAATGCTCAAACTCGTTTTTTTCACAGATGAAGCATTTGAGTTCACATGTAATGAATGAGTTGACAACCAGGAATGAATACAGATGTTTAATGAATTCACATGTATTGACTTACATTAACAAACTGAGACACCTATGTTTTTATTGAGGGTTATCTTACCCAATACACAAATATTTCATATTAAGCCAAATGTCTGTACGGTGATGTACAGTGCTGTGGTAAAAGTATTTCTTGGTTAAGTTTTACTTTACCATACAAAGATCTCTATATTAAATAGAAAATGTCCGACAACATGAAGTAGGCTTACGGTAAGTCCCTCTCAAAAGGACATTATGGAAAAAATGGCAGAATATTCAAAAGGAATATTATGCCCTAACTGAAAGAAAGTTTGTATCTATCAGTCTCAAACGGGTTTGGGACTCCAGCAAATAAACCTCAGAGTAGCATTGGACAAACTGAGAAAACGCGGAACAGTTGTTAAAGGAATAGTACACCCAAAACATGATTAGCCTTCATTTTCTACTCACCCCCATGCTGAACAACACTCTGGAGTACTTTTTTGATATCTCAAATGCATCTGAAGATCTGGGAGGCTTCTTGCTGTCTGCTGACATTCAAATAATGGAGGTCTATGGCGCCCGAGGCAGAAAGGTCCATAAAAGTCCACAAAAAACGTGTCAATATTCCTCCATACTGCTCGTCCAATGTATTCCAAGTGTCCTGAGTGGGTAGCATCCAGAATTTACTCGAAACGAAGTCATTTAGAATGTTTTTAGAGCATAAAAAGTAGTGTATAGGATTTCCCGAAAGCGCGCGCCAGCGCGTTCATGACGCTACCGAAGCCGGCAGACCAAACCAGATGAAAGTGCGCATTCAGCGTCTGCTCTGCCAATAATGCAAGCGTAGAAGAAGAAATGTGCTGTTTACCTGTGCAAAGAAAGAAACAACGAAAGAAAAATGTCTGAGGACTTCAGTGTTGAGGAAGAGCATGAGTTCTTTGCCGAGCTGAATGCGCTGGTTTGGTCTGCCGGCTTCCGTAGCGTCGTGAACGCACATGTGCGTGCTTTCAGGAAATCCTATACACTACTGTTTATGCTCTAAAAACATTCTAAATGACTTCGTTTCGAGTAAATTCTGGATGCTACCCACTCAGGACACTTGGAATACATTGGACGAGCAGTATGGAGGAATATTGACACGTTTTTGTGGACTTTTATGGGCCTTTCTGTCTCGGGCACAATAGACCTCCATTATTTGAATGTCAGCAGACAGCAAGAAGCCTCCCAGATCTCCAGATGCATTTGAGATATCAAAAAAGTACTCCAGAGTGTTGTTCAGCATGGGGGTGATTAGAAAATGAAGGCTAATCATGTTTTGGGTGTACTATTCCTTTAATGCTTCTACCAAATTTACCATAAGAATGCATTGACAATTCATCCAGGAGGTCACAAAAAACGTCTTGAGGCCTTTGATTAAAGACTCTAAAAGATGAAAAATATGTAAGGTTAGAATACTATTACAAATTCATTTTAACTTAATAAAAATAAAAAAAACACAGTGGAAGGAATGGCATGATTTTGAGGTGCGTACTGGATGTCTTCCTGAATAAACACTCTGTATATGTGAACATCCTGTAGAGAAATGTTTAGCCCTCAGTCTGTGACCTTAAACTCACTTAGGTTATATTTACAGGGTAACGACCTGCACCTAATCAGCAAATCCACCTCATTGTGGTTCAGTAAATAGATAAGTTGGATATTTACTGCAGTGAAAGTCCTGACTTAAATCTATATTGTAACTTCCCCAGGCCCCCTGTGCTGGGACCAGCGTTACCGCCTGGCTTCCACAGGGCAGCTTATGACAGCGACGGGGGTGAAGATGGGGAAGGTCTCCCAGGACCCGCACTTCCCCCGGGGTACCAGGCTGAGTGTTCCAGCAGTGAGGAAGAAGATGAGGATGTGATTGGACCCATGCCGCCCAAAGGACCTGTTCAAAATTCTGTGGCTTTGGAATTTGAACAAAGAGCACAAAGGATGAAAGAGAAACTCACCGGACAGGTTGTTCTTTTCCCACATCCCCTGAAATGTAGACCCTCCTCCTTTGGAAATGCTCACAAACATTTTTTATGCTTTTTTTTTTTTTAATCTGATTTCTCTGTAAATAGGAGACCCCCGAGGTGCTGAGCAGAGAATCATGGATGACAGAGCTCCCACCAGAACTGCAGCACATTGGTTTAGGGGCTCGAACCTTCAAAAAAAGGTCCGGTCCAGAGAACAAGGATAGATCGATTTGGACAGACACACCTGCAGACAGGGAGCGTAAAGCCAGGGTAGGCATTTTATATTGTTTCCATGTCAACTGTTGTCTTTGTGTTATTTGGTTCGATCTCAGAGTTTTCCTCCTTCACCAACAGGAACGCCTCGAAGGAAAGAAAACAGGGGAGGCAAAGGATGATAGCGTTCCACAGCTTTCTCGAAGAGACATGGAAATGGCAGAAAAAGTATCTAAATATAATGTGAGTAGCTTTTCTTTTATTTTATTGAATGTTCTCTAAGTGACCTTTGAATACACCAGCTTCTGCCTTCCACATAAAACCTAATTAAAATGCATCGATTGTTTAATCATAAGTCATCATAAGTATTAACACCTTTGCTGATTTGCAGGACTCCAAACGGGCCGAGTCTCTCATGTCCTTACATTCAAAGAAGCTGAAGGAAAAAGCGAAAGAGAAGGCTGACAAACCAGTAGAGAGGAGGCCGTTTGATCGGGACGCAGACCTGCAGGTCAATCGCTTCGACGAAGCCCAGAAGCAGCGGCTGCTTAAGAAGTCTCAGGAACTCAACACCCGCTTCTCCCACAGCAAAGACAAAATGTTCTTGTAAGATTTTTGTCCAAATTGTAGAAAATTCATCCAGCTTTCCTGTTGTTGTCTCAGGTAATCTAATTCTTTTTTTTTTTAAAGATTTTTTTACAGTAATACTTTATTTATATCCATCCAGTCACACTGATTCTTTGGTTTATTGTTTTAATGTTGGGAGTTCTGTAGAAGGATCCTTTAACAATTGTGAATTCTCCAGATTGACAAAAAAAAGCAGTTGAAATTAAGATGAATATCTAATCTAAGGATAAACCAATCTGGCTTTATATGTTATATTTTGAACAGCACTAAATAAACGCTGCCAAATCTGCCCCATCACTTTAGCAGATTTATTTTTTCTTCTTCGTAAATGTTAAGAGGATGGCCTTCATGGTAGCATTGTTACTATAGAAAGGTCCCAAGTTCAAATCCAGGCCTGGGGTTTTTCTGCTTGTAATTAGCATTCTCTCCCCATTCATTCTTGGGCTTTTCTGGGGTTCTCTGGGCTCATCCCACAGTTTCCAATCCATTACTCCAGAGTTAACTGCTTAGTATAAACCAACTTATATATGAGTCAATAAACATCCTACAAGTGTGTGTGAGTGAATGTACCATGCCTCTAACACCAGCCTTTCTGACCCTTCATAAATGAGCAGGCATTAGTAGATGGATTGATGTAAACAGCATAAAAGCTATTCATACGATATAAACAGAAGAGGGTTTTGTTGATGTATTTTTAGTCTAAGGTACAGAGATATAAAATTTTGTAATAAATTTAAATTTTTAGTTAACAAGATACCTCCTGTAAATGTGATAAGTGTACATTTTGATTCATTTTCGTATGTTTATTATTGTTTTTAATTGCTGTAAGAGCTTACAGCTTGCTATGCTTTTTTTGTATCCCGTTAGCAGTTTGTCTTATTTCTATCAATTTAATAAACTTTTATTCCAACACAGAATTTGAACATATGTGGTCTTATTATTTTCCCCAAAGCAGAGGTCTTCAACAGGGGGTCTTCGAGACCTAGGAGGTCCGTGGAAATACTGCATGGGGGTCGCGAAACTTTTGTTTGATTAGACTTTTTTTTTTTTTTTTTATATATATTCTCCCCTGCAATTTTTTTCCTCTAATTGAAATGTCTTTAAATACACATTAACATGAATTCAAAACACTGCAGTAAACGGATAAATGGAGGCGGAAGATGTCTTTCAGTCATCAATGCAAACATTCAGCGACACACAGGAGCTCTTTCAAGCTGGGAACCGTTTCATTCACAACACCTGTCCTATCGACGAGGAATCAGAAGGGAGAAATTATTGTCCTTACATGACTGCATATGTAATAGAGTGACTATAGGACCAGTTTGATAGAACACAATTTCGTACAATATATATAATTAGTGGGTCCCCGCTCCATCTCGCCATCAGTTTGGGGCAGAGGCATAGCCAGAATTTTTTATACGGGTGGCCAGGCAATAACCATCATACAGTGAGGGATGGCTGAAAGCGGATAGGCACCAGAACCTCAGGGTCAATCTACACTGTTCCAACAGGAAAAAGAACAAGCAAAACATCCATATTTTCTAAAGAAAGGCTAACTATACTTTCATACAGCCTTTGCTAACAAACAGATGCATATATTTAAACACCCCTAATTTCTAAATAAAAGATATAGTGGGTTAAAGTCTTTTTTGAGTTCTGGGGCGTAACTCAATCATCATTGTCATTACTTACCTACTTTTATCAATAAATGTTCTGCATAAAGTTGTTATTTACAAGCACTAATATCAACATAAATTGATTATTTGATAAGATTTTATTAAAATTGTTATTTATGTTTGATTTCACTGAATACTCCTAGATGACTTGCAGGGAATCATATTTTTCTCTTTACCCCATATAACACAAAATCTAGTCCTAAAAAGAGCATGAATTCTGTACTATATTGGTATGTATAATTAACCATAAAAGAATACATGTTTTGAATATTCCATTTGAGAGTATTACTGCTGCCACCATCTATATTAGAGGGGGAAAAAATGGTAGGGGTGGCCAATGATTGGCTAAGAGTGGACATGGCCACCCCTGGCCCCCCATCAAACTCTTCCCCTGGTTAGGGGGTCTTTAGCCTGGAAAATTTTGAAAACCCCTGCTCTAAAGCTTTAAATCAATTTTTTTTCATGATGCGAAAATTGGAATGAACCCTCAGAGCTTCCGTACAACAGTATCTCTATTGCGCATGCGTGTGGCGGTTGTGTTTTATGTTAGCATCGTTTTAAAGCATGTCAGATAAAGGAGAGGTAGATTTAACCGGTGCCAAGCAGAATACCGGTGTCTGGCTTGTGAAGGTGAGTATGTGTCAGCCTAAAATATGTTATTATCTGATATAAACGCTCAGGTAGCGATGGACAAAAGGACGAAGCTTTGTTTTTTAGCTTAGCATATTAGCAACAGTCGAATGAATTGGCTACTTCTAAATATTATCACATGGAAAACTATGCTAACAGTTTGGTGGGATTACGTTTGCGTCATTTTGCTAATAAATCTTCGGGTTGAACAATCATGGTAAAACGTGAAGCTCCGGTGTAATGTAAACTAACCTAATGTAACTCGAAGATTAACTGTGATTCTTTCTAAATCACTCGGATTTATATTTTCTATGCAAAACTTTGACTTGGAAGGTGCATTAAGAAGTTACTTTTCGCTTATTTCTTAACCCTTTATAGGGCAAGATACCATTTTTGATCACTATTTTTGGCATTTGACCAATTAGATGAGCCCTTGAAAGATATATTACCTACTGTAATAAAGTTGAAAAAAAGTTAAGAAGTCAAGAAAAAAAGGCAAAAAGCTAATTGAACAGTTAAAAAATTAATTAAGTGTATTTGCCCTTAATTTTAGAAGGTAAATGAGATGACTTGCAAATGGCTTTTGAAATAAGATAATTAGATAATATGCACTAGAAAAAAGACAATGCAATTGCGTTTTATTTTAAATGTAAATTGTCTTTTTCCATTGGCAAAATGCTTCTTATATCTCCTCAATTTAAGATCAAATGCACTTATTTTAAGAAAACATGGCTCATTTAGATTTTGATTTTTTTTCCAGTGTAAAAAAATGTAAGTGCAAATATCAGTATTAATCCCTCTAAGGTTATGTTGGACCAAAAAAAAAAATGTTTCTTTCATGAATTTCTTATCGAAGCACTTTTGTTATTCTTCTTAATATATTTGGGCAAGTTGGTGTTTCTTGTTACAAGTTTTGCCATCAAAATATCCATATTTTTTAATTTCACAAAGTTAATAAGGTCTTGTCCTGGATTCCAATAACCCTATTGGCTTGAAATTTAGATTTTCAAAGGATGTCACTGACTGCCCTATAATGGATTAATATGATTTTATTTATTAGTATGAGTTGTGGTGCTTCACATATTAGAGGTCGGTGGAGCACCCAGAGATAGTAGCATACTTACGTAAGAGTTAAATGTATATGGTAAAGGTTTTGGAGCATAAAGAAAAGAAAAAACAAGCATTAAAAACAAGCTTGATATTCAGTGAAGTTACTACAGTAGATGGAGTAGCCAAACATTTTACTCAAGTAACAGAGGTGTTTTATTAAGATATTACTCTTACTAAATACTACAATAAATAAAGTATAGTGAAGTAAAACTAAAAGTATTTTTTGTCAAAAGAAGCTAAAATGATTCCAACGGCATACCCACAGATTTAAAACCTTCATTATGAGGATAATCTGTTTGGCAAAGACAAAAATTAGATTACTTAGGAAATACGATTTTTGTATTTTAAAAGTATTGAAAATTCTGAAAACACCATCTTTTTGAATCGTTGTAGAATACATTAAAATGGTTTAAAACTTTAAAATTTCATCTTAAATGTGTCTAATTGCGTCAAAACTTGATGGAATGGAACATTTGAGAGTCTTTTTTATTAATCATTAATTGCCACTGAAGGCTGAACATCAAGTGGATGGGCACCCAAATTTAATTAAGTCACCAGAATTGATGATACGATTTTGAATAGTTGCAGCTCCTGATGTTTTTGGTAAACTTTTCCCCAACGTTAACTATCAATATTGGTTCATTTTTGCTCCAATTTTGCATACAAACAGAACAGGGCATTTATGTTCATCATATGAGATCATTGTTTTAATTCTTGCAGGTGTAAAGTGAACTTTATTTTTTTGCAGGTCCCAAAATACCTCTCTCAGCAATGGGCAAAAGCAACAGGAAGAGGCGAGGTCGGGAAAATCAGAATTTGCAAGTATGTCACATAAAGCTTGCACCCTTAAAGTAGCAGAAGACTTTGCAAAGTTTTAGGGGAAAATGTTTTTTGCTTTTTTTTTTAGATGTTTATGCATGTAAACGGTTTGCAAGCAAGATGCAACAATGAATGAAATTTACAATTTTCACTGTATAGGATAAAACACAGTTATTACTACTAATCTCAGGAAGAATAGCTCCTGGAAGCACATTCTGATAGATGGGTGCAGTAGAAAGAGGAAAGTAAAAATGTGATTTTTGGTTCTTTTTGCCAGTCAACTGAGTGAAATACTGTCCTTTTTCTTTTATCTTGAAGAAAAGGAAACCAAGGAAAACCAGAGGTAAGTAATGCTTTATGGAATATCTACAAAGCATTACACAGATATTCATGTGCCATATAAAGTTATATTTCTTATTATTTCTTAACTAATAAAGATGGTAGTGATCAGAGTCTAGATGAATGCTGCTACTGTGCTTTTGCTATGAAACAATGTGCACAAAGATTTTAATTCCTTGGTATATGCTTTATAACCCTAACTATGTATGTTTACTTGCTAGTTTAAGGTGAAACATAATAATTTTAGTTATTATTTTGTATGCTGGGTTTAACTTTTCAAATGAGAGGCCAGCTCCAAATCAAAATGTTTAATTCAGTCTTTAGCGAACTCGAACCGTCTGCATTGCTTCTTCCTGTAGGTGTCTTTCACTTTAAATGAAGAGCTGACTACTATCGATGGCATCGAAGATAAGACGGTGTCTGCACCTCGCGAGCATCCTTTCACCATGCAGTCAGTGGGGGGTCAGATGCTGGCAGTCTTCACAGAGAGTTCGGCCGGTGAGTTTCAGTGTACAGGCTCGGAGTGCAAAAGCGTTTCCTCGATTACTATCATCGCAACACCAGAGTCTTTGTTGTTGTCTAATAATCAATTTGTTTGATTTCTGCAATGTGAAATATGAAGGCGTCCATTCTGCCATGTGTGCATTCTTGCTTTATACAGATGCATCTAAAATAAAACAAAATATAGAATACTGTGCAAAGTTATATATTTTAAGTCACTTATTGCATAAAGAGATACTCATTTATATGGATTATTTATACATGAAGGGAAATATTTCAAGCCTCCTTTTATATAATCTTATAGTTATGGCTTACAGGTAATTAAAACCCAATCGATCAGCCTTTGAGGTTTAGTGTAAGCTTAGATTGAATGGCTTGGATCTTTTTTTACTATGTTTGAGCCATTATAATTGAGATTATAAGAAAAGCAAGCTTGAAATATTTCACTCTAATGAATCTATATAGTGCATGAGTTTCAGTTTCTGAAATAAGAGACCAAATAAATACTTTTCTCCTTATTCCAGTAGTTTGGATGTACCTGTGCCCGCTCTATCCTTCCTAGGGGTGTAAATCACATCCATCATGGCGATTCGATTCAGTATCGATTTCCTGACCCAACGATTCTATTATTTTCGATACTCAAGAATACACCATGATACGATTCGATTAATCGGTTAATTTAAAAATTTTTTTTTTTTTTACACCTTACAGGCTAAACAAAGTTTCAAGTTTGAAACAAATCAATGAAAGGTCTAATATCGTTTTGCATTTTTTTTTTTTTTAGAAACAACAGCAAATAACAGAAGTAGAAAAGTTG